AGCCATTTCAGGAGGTAGCATATGATCAAGAACCCATGGTACTGAAGGAACATGTCCAAGCTGCACTGAAGGGAATGGTGAAAAGTAAAGAGTCCAGGAATTGATGGAATATCAATTGAGATGTTTCAACAAACGGATGTAGCGCTGGAGGTGCTCAATGGTCGATGTCAAGGAATTTGGAAGATAGCTTCCTAGCCAACCGACTGGAAGAGATCAATATTTGTGCCCATTCCAAAGAAAGGTGATCCAACAGAATGCGGAGATTATCGAATAATATCAAACGCAAGTAAAATTTTGCTGAAGATCATTTAAAAGGAGTTGCAGCAGTACATTGAAAGGGAACTGCCAGATGTTCAAGCCGGACTCAGAAGAGGACGTGGAATGAGGGATATCATTGTTGATGGCAGATGGATCTCGGCAGAAAGCAGAGAATATCAGAAGGATGTTTACCTGTGTGTTTACTGACTATGCAAAGTGTGGATCAGAACAAATTATGGATAACAACTGCAAAGCATAGGAATTACAGAACACTTAATTCTACTCCTATACATAGATCAAGAGATAGTTGTTTGAACAGAACAAGGGGCTACTGCTTGGTTTAAAACCAGGAAAGGTGTGCATCAGGGTTGGATCCTTTCACCATATTTATTCAGTCTGTATGCTGAGCAAATAATCTGAGAAGCTGTACTATATGAAGAAGAACAGGGCATCAGGACTGGAGGAAGACTTGTTAACAACCTGCGACACACAGATGACACAACCTTGCTGAAAGTGAAGAAGATTTGAAGCACTTACTGATGAAGATCAAAGACTACAGCCTTCAGTATGGATTACACCTCAACCTAAAGAAAACAAAAATCCTCACACCTGGACCAATAAGCAATATCATGATAAATGGAGAAAAGACTGAAGTTGTCAAGGATTTCATTTTACTTGGATTCACAATCAATGCCCATGGAAACAGCAGTCAAGAAATCAAACGGCGTACTGCAGTGGGAAAATCTGCTGCAAAAGACCTCTTCAGTGTGTTGAAAAGCAAAGATGTCGTTTGGAGGACTGAGGTGCACCTGACCCAAGCCATGATATTTTCAATCACCTCATATGCATGTGAAAGCTGGATAACGATTAAAGAAGACTGAAGAAGAATTGATGCCTTTGAATTACGGTGTTGGTGAAGAATATTGAATATACCATGGACTGCCAGAAGAACTAACAAATCTTTCTTGGCAGAAGTACAGCCAGAATGCTCCTTAGAAACGGGGATGGTGAGACTTCGTCTCACATACTTTGGACATGTTATCGGGGGGACCAGCCCTTGAAGAAGGACATCCCACTTGGTAAAGTAGACCAGACCTGTTGTCATCGAGGCGATTCTGACTCATAGCGATCCTATAGGACATAGTAGAACTGCCCCATACGGTTTCCAAGTAGCGCCTGGTGGATTCAAACTGCTGACCTTTTGGTTAGCAGCCATAGCTCTTTACCAGAAACCTTGGTGGCGTAGTGGTTAAGTAGAGGGTGAGCAAAAAAGAGGAAGACCCTCAATAAGATGGATTGACACAGTGGCTGTAACAAGATGCACGACTGGGCAGTGTTTGTTCTGTTGTAGGTAGGGTAGCTAAGAGTCAGAACCAACTCAATGGGCACCTAACAACAACATCGTATCTGTGGATGGAATCCCATTTGGGAATAGGGTTTTCCTTGTTATGTTAATGAGGTCATGTCAGTATAGGGTGTGTCTTAAACCTAACCACTTTTGAGATATAAAAGGAGCAGGTTAGGCACATCAGAAAATAATAAGCAGGAATGGGGAAAGACAGATGCCACATGGAGCTCTCCAAGGACACCTAGAAGAACTCTAGAGAAGCTGAGACAAGGATATTTCCCCCCTAGAATGACTCCCTTGAATTTGGACCTCTAGCCTCCTGAACTATGAGAAAATAAATTTCTGTTCTTTAAAACCACCCACTTGTGGTATTTCTGTTACAGCAGCACTAGCAAACAAAGCCAGCTACCATACTAAGCAGTGCAGCGCATGGAGACTACATCCATCATCACAGAAAGTTCTATCAGATAGTGCTGCACAGACTCAGTTCAGATGCCGAATTATTAATCCATCACTTACTGATCCTATGACGTTAGGGAAGCTGGTGAGTCTGTTTTCTTTGCCGTAGACACAAGCTAAATGTCTGTCACTAGAAGATTAGCTAAATAAATTATGATCTATAAATACAATAGAATGCTATGGAACAGTTAAAAACACCAAGTTACATCTATAGGTACTAGCACACAAAGATCTCCACAACCAAATACTGACAGGAATAAAGCAAGCTGGACTAAGAAATGTCCGATGTATTACCATTTATGCAAAACACACATTCATATATGAAATCTATCACATATTTTTCTGCAGACGTATCTCTAAATATAGAAATATGTAGAAAAATCTGTATACTAAACAGACAAATGTAGTTACCCCTAGGGTGGTGGCCAAAAGGTATTTTGCTATTTATAAAATTTACAACATGCCAGTTTAGCATAAGATATTAATATTTTCTGTACAAAGATGATGCTAACAGCAATCACTACCCCATCAGTACCTTCCAGATACCAATAAAAGAGCTTTGAGTATTAAAAAACATTATTTATATGTAAGACTTGGTCAAGTCTAGAGTCCTCGGATATAAAGAGTGTAAAAATAGTACATCATGATTCGTAAATTCCTTTAGAAGAAATTTCAAACCTACAGACGCAAACACTTGTTACCTTTCGAGACCAAACTCTGATTAGTGATGACTCAACTCTCCACTGTGCTGAAATTTGTTCACGTGCCTTTGTTCCCCAATCAAGTATTTAGCCTCAGCTATGGTGGTCGAATTCTAACAAATTAGTCATTAAAAACCCTACAGAGCACCGTCCTACTCTGACACACACAGGGTCGCCATGAGTTGGAATTGACTCAAAGGCAAATGGTATTGTTTTGTTTTGTTTTTACAGGACAGACAATTGGGAGGGAGATGTGAATAGGAGAGACCTAGTCCCTGCCCTCAACATGCGGATAGTCTACCCAGAAAGGAACACATTCAACAAGTTTATACAACAAAATGGGATAAATGTCATCAAGCGGAAGTTTGGGGAGATACAAACACATACAGATTTGAAAGGATAGTAGGAAGTTAGTGGACAAAATGTGTGTTGAGGGGAGACAAGCAATGATTCAAGCAAAGATACAGAAATGTAAAGCCCAGATATGAAAGAGAAATGGAAAGAACTCCCGTTCGGCTGGATAGAGGAGTGGGAAAGGGGAGAAATGAGACAGAGCTGGATCATGCAGAGGCTTGTCGCCATGGTACAGAATTTAGGATTTTATCTTAAAGGAAGACACAGAGGTGTGTTTTTACACAAAGGAGTGCCATGATCGGTTCTGTTTTTACAGAAAACTTATTCTGGTTCCAGGGTGGAGACTGGAAGAATAGGTGTTATAAATTGGCAAGATGTGATGTTGACCCCTAGACTATGGGAGTAGCAACTGGGATAGAGAAAAGGGGACTGATTTGAGAGCTGGCAGGGATAGAATGTGCATGATTTGAACTTCTTTCAGCTGATGGAGAAGATAAGTATACTAAACGGTCTTATCGGGGTAAGGTATAGGAACTCAGCAAATTTCTCTTAGATGCCTTTTTTTTTAGTGCTAAAGATCTTCATCTCCTTTTATAGGTCCATAATTTTATCTACAATCCCCAAATCCAAAAAGCTCTTAAAAATGGAAAGGTTGATGGCAGCAACCCCAACTTGAATTAACATGAGGTTCTTCATTTTGCCTTATCTCATTCTACATGAATATTCATATATTTCCCTGCAGAAATATTAATATCTGTGATTATGGATGCTGCCAGGGAACACATTAGGTTTCGTACATAACAAACCATGTAATGCACTATATTACCCTTCTAAAATTTAAACAACATCGGAACTTGGCTACACATTTGGCCCTATGGTTTCTGATAAACAATCATGGACCTGAAAATTTCCACTTTGGTTTTCCTGCTTTTAAAGACAGCTGAGATCTTGCTGATACATACCACTGTTGATCACACAGCCGTGTGTTTGTGTGTGTGTATGTGTGTGTGTCTGGGAACGGAGGTGGGATGTGAGAGAGTTAGCCAGTATTATTGACTGTGCATAAGATCTGGAGTTCAGAATGTTTGTATTTTAAGTGCTGACCTTTACATGCATTAGATACATGGTAATGTTCATTTTCAGGAAGGTTTTGCCAAAGTAGAGAATCTGCTACAGGGCTAACCCTATGCATCTGTCCCTCTGGGGACTGATACTTATTTCTAACAAGGTGTCTGCTAGAAGAAGCCAGGGGCATCAAAAGGAATCAATCCCATGCCTTCACCTACAACCACCAACCTTCATTCATTTTTTTAAACCACTGGCCCAGTGCTCTGCTAAGGGATTTGGAGACTACTGCCAGTGAATGATATATAATCCCAAACCATTCTCTGGAAAGTTGTTCTACAGAGGATGCTTTATAAGTATTTGTTAAAACAATAAACTAAAAAAAAGATATGAATCTACGTATTTGTATGTTATTTATGTTAACAAAAATGTTAATTTTATACCATCAAGAAATGAGAAAGCTGGACTGCTGTCTTTTTTTTGTTTTTTGAAGTTGAGTACAAGGTTTGAGAGAGGGGAGAAGAGAGCACCTGGGGAAGCCTCTCCTTTGGTGGGTGAATTTGAAGAGACAGGTGGACGAAGAATTTAAGCACATCTTCTGACTGTCTTGTACTGTATCTGCCCACTGGCACCTCTCATTAAAGACTTACCTTATTAAGTAATTTTTGCAGTTGGATTTATATTCACTTTTGGACTGCCACTGACCTGGAAGTTAACCTAGGGGGTCTTTGGATTGCAAAGACAATAAAATAGGGAGGTTCCTGGTAGCCTTAGGTCCTTTTGAACGCTGAAGAAAGTGGCCAGAAAGGTCTTACCTTCAACACATGAAGGCTGTGCCCGAGTTGTGCCAGCAACCTGTCCCGGGAAGCAGGAACACTTGACCGTTTGGGACCGCTCTTCGATGCGGTTTTTATTGCAGCACCTGTGCACGGCCACCACCTCACAGGTCCCTTGCCTGATTTGGTGGTGGCCTAGAAGGTAATGAGAGGGAAAAACAGACCCAATGCCGTTAGGAGGATATGAAACCACCAAGATCATAAACAACACTATCACTACATTTTCCAACCTCCTGAGCTATGCTTGTGCATCTTTGTAACTTTTTTGATACATTTTTAAATGAATATAAAGGTCACATTCAAAATGGTGCAAAAAACTCCTGTTAAACCTGTGGGGGGCAAAACATTGGCTCCATGAACTTCGTCTCCTGGTGTCACATCCATGATCATGTCACATCACGTGGTACTGACCTGCACTAACTTAGTGACAATTTCTTGGAAGATGATTAGGAATTTGCAGAAGCAAGAATGAGCTTAGTTTAGCAATAGGTGGAATGATTCCTATGGTGGGACTTTTACTTAAGTGAGTAATCCCACCTTTGGAGTCTGTCATTCTACTCAAATGTCAGTTCTAGAAAGGGAGCATATCTGACTGGTCACATGTTGTTACACATATGTTGAAGTCCTAAGCCTTGTCTGTACCTGTGTCTGTACCTGTGAATGTGACCCTGTTTGGACACGGGGTTTTTCTTTTGTTCTGTTAATGAGATGTCACACCAGGGTGTGATGGGTTCTAAACCTAATCCCTTTTGAGTGGTGTCTTATAAAAGAACAGAACAGACACAGAAATACACACAGAAGAAATCATGTGACAATCTAGCTACAAGTCCAGGGCTACAGACAAGGAAGGACTCTCTCCTCAAGCTGATGCCCTGATTTAGAAATCTAGCCTCCAAAACTGTGAGACAATAAATTTCTGGTCTTTAAAACCATCCACTTTGTGGTGTATTTGTTATGGTGGCACTTGATAACTAAGACACATGACAACTGTAGCAGCCAGCCTTTAAGACAGACAGTCCCTAGTATTCAACTTTGTGCAGTCCCTTCCCACACTGTACCAGGGTTAGGCTGTATGACCAACAGCATACAGCAGAAGTGAGGGTGTGTCACTTCTGAGATTAGGTGGCCTCCATCTTGGGTGCTGCTCTCCCTCCCTCTCAAATCACTGACTCTGGGGAAACTATGCATGAGTAGCCCCGTGGAAGGGTCCCTGTGGTGAGGAAGGGAAGTTTCTTCCAACAGTCACATGAGTGAGCTTGCAAGCAGACTCCTTATGCAGTCCCCTCCCACAGGGAACCAGGGTTAGTCTGTGTGACAATAGCAATATGGCGGCAGAAGGGATGGTATGTCACTTCCAAGATTACATCGTAAAAGACAACAGTGATGCCTGTTCACTTTCTGTCACTCTGTCGTCACTCACTCTGGGGAAAACCATGTCAAGAGGAGGAGCCCTATGGAGAGACCCACATGGTAAGGAACTAAGGTCTCCTGCCAACTATCACATAAGCTGAGTATGGAAACAGATCCTCCAGCTCCAGTTGAAACTTCAGAGACTATAGCCCCGGCCAACAGCTTAACTGCAATCTCATGAGAGACCCTGAAACAGAACTACCCAGCTAAGCCACTCCCCGATTCCTGGCCCTCAGAACTTCATGAGAGAATATATGTTTATTGCTTTAAGTATCTAAGTTTTGGGATAATTTGTTATGCAATTATAATACACCAACTCTGGCTGTACCAGAGAGATTACCGTGGCTCTGATTGATAGAAATAATGTAAACAAGATTGCAGAGGCAATGTTTAGACATTATTAATAAAAGACAATGTTTTTGAATACCCTCAAGCACCCTTGTCATTTTTCAGATACACCATTTACATATAAATTGTTATGTGAATTATAAGCAATCTCATCTACTTGTTAAAACAGGTTTCCCCAAGGATTTCCATTGGTTAAGTCTTTGCCTGGTTGCTGTTACCACATGTGCTTCAAAGTAACAAAACCAGCTTAAAAATATTCCATAATTCAGACTTTTTAATCCATGCAGCTAGGCCTTCCTCAAAATAACCTCTATATTATTCTGAATTTTTTCTTGCCCTTCCTTCCCTGTCATACTACCCTAAATGCTGGAGGAAGCAAAATTCAGTTACTGGAGAGAACATATACTAAGGCAAAGCTTTATTTGTAAACTACATAAAGGCAGAACCTGTGCCCAGAGAAACTATCAGTGAGAACGTTTTCAATCTACTACCGAAGAAAGCATGAGTACGAAAGAAGTGATTAAAACTATAAAACCTAATTAAATGTTCACAACTAGAGTGCTGATTTCCCATAGGAAGTTGTATACAATGAAAAAAAGGAGTAATTACAATGTCAGTAAAGTAGCATGAGACTTTAGCACAGAGTCAGCAGAAAAGTGAGGCTTGGGAAGGGTTAATGGAGATCCTTCCTCTGGTTTCTAACCGAAAATAAGCACCTTCAGTTCAAACACGTCCCAACAGCTAATGACTAGCTGTGTGGAGGGCCAAGATGAACTCATACACAGTCCTCAATCAGTGACCGCCCTCCCTGTTGGCCATCATGCCTTAATTAGATTATTAAATGACCCTGGAGAGTACCTAATGCAGTTAGCGCTAAACCTGATTTTTAAAAAAATGAGAGAACTATGCTTTAGTAACCTCTTGGAATACTCAAGAAATGATCTGGACATTCAGTAATTTCATAGTTTGCTTACAACTGTGTTGCTAATTAGATACTCATGTGTGGTGGGTTGAATAATGCCTCCCCAAAATTCCTGTCCACTCGGAACCTCACAATGTGACTTCGTTTGGATACAGGGTCTTTGCAGATGCCATTAGCTTAGGATCTTGAGAAGAAATCATCCTGGAATTACGGCGGGTCTTATAGCCAATGACTGGTGTCCTTACGAGAAGAGGAGACACGCACAAACCCAGGAGAGAGAGAGAGAGACGCAGAGGAAAGAAGGCTCTGTGGAGACCGAGACAGATGGGAGTGATGCACCTACAAGCCAAGGAAAGCTTTTGCCACCAGAAGCTAGGAGAGAGGCATCGGATGGAATCTCCTTTAAAGCCTCTAGAAGGAACCAGCATTCCACCAATACCTTGATACCAGACTTCCGGCCTCCAGAACTTTGAGAGAATAAATTTCTGTTGTTTTAAGCCATCAAGTTCGTAGCAGTTTGTTATGGCGGTGCTAGAAAATGAATACACATCATCCACAAATACAGGCGGCTTTATTTATTTTATTTTTCTTACTATTCCAACTGAGGACCTGGGTCCACACTATTGTACTTCACTGATTTTAAGATACACATTTTTTTCACCTTTTAACATATCAGGACTTGTCCCAGTTGATAGCATTTACAATTACAAGCAGCACTGCTTTTCTTTACTAAACCAAAAACCAAAGCAAACCTGTTGCTGTTGAGTCAATTCCGACTCATAGTGACCTTATATGACAGAGTAGAACTGCCCCATAGGATTTCCAAGGAGCGGCTGGTGGATTTGAACTGCCGATAAAAGAGCCGTATCTCTCACGATTCCACAGTGGATTTTGTGGTAGGTTGCAGGTGCTGTTCTGATTCCTTGTAAATATTAACCTGTGTAATCTTATAAAAATGTGACAGGTAAGTACTACTTTTACTCTTATTTTACATTTGACAACATGTACAGAGATTATCTAACCTGCCCAAGGCTACACAGCTGGAAACGGAAAAGGCGGGATTCAAACCCAGACAGACAGTGTCGATGCTCTCACAGGATACAGGGAAAGTTCCCCTCTTTACTAGCCAAAGACTTACCAGCCAAAATGGTGTCTCCACCACAGTAAGCCACAGGACATAGCTCAGTTTCCCACTGCAAACATCTTTTCTATTTGATGACAGGGTTTGTAGGACTCCCACAGAGACAGTCTTTCAGGAAATGTGTATGCTGGTGACACTGGATCTTTGAATAAGGGTATGCCTCATTTCTTTGTCATCTACAGCTCCTTGCACAGAGGATAGGTACCAGAAATAGTTACTGACTATACCTGCCTGAGAAGCTCATGTTGTAACAACATACAACAACGTCTGATGTATGATGTTGTTGGATGGGGAAAAATAAAAGCTGATTACAAACAAGAAGCTAGTAGCTTTTATGGTACAATTCCCTATTCATTATGGCTGGTACCAGAGAGTGGCCACTTCAAGTGACCTCACTTAAAACAAAGACAAATTTTCCCTCTTAAACAGAGAGGGATCATTTTGGTTACGTTCCATCTTGAAAAATGAAGGGAAATATATGTACATAACGTGAGGCCCGTGCAGTGAGTGAGAGGCTGTAGCTGAACTTTCTCATGGCAAACGACTTTAGAGTGTAGAGTTCCATGGTATGAAGTGGAGTAGATGAGACTGAGGTATCTAGAAGCACGGCTGCTCTCTGGTGGGTAACTGGCCAAAGAGAAAATAAACCACTACCCTCTTTGTGCTATTAATTCTTGTCAGTGGCTGGGCCATTTCCATTCCGGTTGTGTCTGGATGGGTAGGTGGGCGGGTATTTATTTCTATTTATTTAACCAACACTTTAAAGAGCAGTGCCTGGTACATAGTACGTTATACCCGTATTTTATAGCTGGGGAAACCTAAAACTGTTACTTGATTCCTTCCCACGTTTCTGAAATTGTAATCCAGTTGGATATTTTGTTTTTTAAAAAAGAAGACTTAAAAATATTGGCATAGAAGGTCCCTGGGTGGCGCAAACAGTTTGCACTCAGCTGGTAACCAAAAGATTGGCGGTTCAAACCCATTCAGAAGCACCACGGAAGAAACAGGCCTGGTGATCTGCTTCCATAAAGCTTACAGCCAAAAAACCCTATGGGGCAGTTCTACTCTGTAACACGTGGGGTCTCCCTAAGTCACTAAAACCACCGCCACCAAGTACAACAAAAATATTGACACAACTGTTAAGATGTAGGGTGCCTAGTTTTCACCCACCAGAAAAGATAATGTAGACACTATTAAGCATTATGGTAATCCTTACTACAAAAGTGACTGCTTTAGAGGCTAGTTTAACTGTATCTACAGAGTGAACTGCTTACAGGCGTTTCATTCTTTCCTTATTAAATATACTTTTGAGAA